TAATTAAAAATTTTTATTAGTACATATTTGCAGTATATGATTATGTTTCTCATGGAGAGTTGGTGTATTATGTGTACATAATACAACTTAATTCTTTTTTCTCATACCCCTTTCTGCTCCCCACTACAACTGTTGGTCCCCTTCCCATTTGCAGAAGTTCTTCCTGCATCATTTTTCCCATATTTTTTCCAACTCCTTTTCCTCTCCTCTTCCTTCCACTCTTCTCTTTGAAGAAAATCTCCCTACTTCTATTTTGCTCTCTATATTTTTTCAGTTTCCTATATAAGATACTATGTGATACTAAGCTTTTGTATCTGATTTATTTGACTTAATAATGTAGTATGACCTCAAGCTGCATCCATTTCCCTATAAATGCCTTCTAGTTTTATCTTTCTAAAGATAAAAAAGAAGTAATATTCTCTTGGGTACAAATACATTTTCTTTGTTAGAAGATTTAGCTATCATAAATTGTACTACTATAAACAAGAGTATGTGTGTATCCCTGCAATATGATCACTAATGTTTGGAGAAAATACCTGGAATAGAAAATAGCTGGGTCAAATGGGTACTTCTATCTTTAGTTTTTTGAGGAATCTCCATATTAATGATACATAAATTCCTCATTATTTCAGAAAACAGCAACAGTCTTTAAAAGACAGTTCTTGGCCGGTACGGTGTAGTACACCTATATTCCCAGCACTTGGGAATTGAAGCAGGAGGATCCTGTGAATTCAAGGCCAGCCTGAACTATGTAGTGAGATGTTGTCTCAAAAAAGCCAATTCTAAAAAAGGACTGGAGATATAGCTCAGTCGCATAACCACTGCCTGGCAAGTGCAAGGTCCTGAGTTCGATCCCTGATACCACCAAAAAAAAAAAAAAAAAAAAACCAATTCTATACTACCAGGGTATTTCAGAAAAGTTACACTCTTAAAAAAGACTCACAAAAGGGGCCAGGGAGATGGCTTAGTGGAATAAGCGCTTCCCTGGCAAGCACAAGAGCCTGAGTTCAATCCCTGGTTCTGGGGAAAAAAAAGACTCCCAAAAATTTCAAGAAAAAGTGAGTACCATTTTTCTTATATTTCCATTACACTGGTATGCTACATTAAATGTAATAAATAGGCATGGATACATTCTTGTCCATTTTGTGAAACCTATTAAGCAAAAGTATTAGAATAATTTGAACCTAAATTATCAAGTGAAAGAAAAGCATAATAACAAAATAAAAGCAAGATGTAGTGGGACAGCAGTACTTGGGAAGCTGAGGTAGAAAGATCACCATGAGTTTGAGGCCAACCGGGCTGCACAGTGAGCTCAAAGCCAGACTAAATGAGAGTGAGACCTTGTCTCAGAACAACAGCAGCAAAACATAACAAGGAAAGGATAAAAGCACATTTAACTACCACTGTGAGCCAGGAAACACGCTGGACTCCTCACATACATATCACTTCATTATTAAAATGAGCTCATACAAGGTAAAAAATGTGAAGAATCACACAACAATTATGTACTAGAATGAGAAAACGTCCCTTTGGTTCCTCACCTGTACTTTTCTACCCAATCAGTTTCCCCAAAGTGTGCTGTGTTGGGTGAGCTTTAGGTTATCTCAAGCAATTTTTATTTAACAGCTTTTTGTTTTCATTTACACAGAAAAAAAAAAAAATCACATAAAACTCATAACTTCACGAGTATTATCCTTTAGGATGAGGCTTTAGAAAATTGATTTTTGGGCTGGGGAGATAGCTCAGCAGTCTAAGTGCCTGCCTGGCAAGCGCAAGGACCCAGGTTCAATCCCCAGTACCACATGCTGTGCCACTGAGCCAGCCACTGAAACCAGGCATAGTGGTGTAATCCCTGGCACCTGTAATCCCAGAAATGGAGTGGATGAGACAGGAGGATCACTATGAGTACAAGCTGCATTGTAAGACCCTGTATCATATACATAAATAATTTTTTTATTAAAAAATTTTTAATTTTTAAAAATAGCTATTAAGAGGGCCAGACGATAGCTCAGCAGACTAAAGTGCCTGCTTCGGCAGAGCGCAGCAGCTGGGGTTCAATCCTTGGCATGCCATTCTGATCCCACCCCCAGGGCGTGCTGAGATGGCAACTGAAACTGGGCATGGTGGCACGCACCTGTAATCCAGCGCTTGGAAGGCTGAAAATAGGAGAATCACTACGAGTCTGATCTACATAATAAGACCCTATAGACCCTGTACCAAATCATGAAATTAAAAATAAAATTTAAAAAACTATTAAGCAAATAATAGAAAAGCCCTCATGAGGGTATGTATGAAATTTGAAACTGCTAACAAATGAGGAAATGTCTTCCTAAGGATTTATCACTCAACATTTAAATTTCTGTTTTATTCTGACTAATGAAAGCACAGCAATACATTTGCGAGTGAAAGTACATAGACGTACCTGACATAGTTTGATCAAGTTTGTGGATAAGAGACTTTTTAGCACATTCAACATCAGGACTTGGATAATCCAAAACTTGCCTGCACCAAACTAATGGACTAACTGATTTCTGCATTGGTGTAAGTTTTTTCTTTGGTGATGAATACAGCCTGGAAAAAAAAACAAAAGCATAATATTCATCATTAAGCACATAGTTATACAGCAGGGATCTTTACATATAATTTTAAAATGGGGGGAGCTTAAAAGTGATAGAGCATGGTTAAACTTACCCAAATTGACTCAGTGTACAAGAAAAAAGTGAAACTACTATAATCAATATAAACCACAATTTCAAGTACTAAATGAACTCAAATGAAGCTTTCTGAAAATGTGTCTTATTTTTCTTCGATTACTAGAAGTTTGAGGAACTGTCTTTACAACAGTTTATAGTATTGTTTTCAACAGAACTTGACCAGCTCCCTAACATAGCCCCACCATAACGTCCAGCCTCTGTGGCAGAAGAACAAACTAGTCTGTTCTCTACCTCTCAATTTTCCACAAAAACACAAAAATAACATCTATACTCTCTAAGAGTTTCAAATAGTTATATGTTTAAAAAATACTTTGAATCTTCAGTGACAATGTCAATCAACTCATGAAATTATTTAGAAATAAGGGAGTAGTATTTTATAAGCTCACAGAGAATATATACTAAAGGAAAAAAGTGAACAGAAAATAGGGAAATGTCTCCGGTTCTGCCAAAAAAGAAAGAAAGAAAACAAGGAAATGTGCCCTTAACTTTCCCACTTCATAGTTCCTCAGAATAGTGCAGCTTATACCAACTGCTAGTACTCAAGTATTTCAAGTATGACTCCATATGAATAACACGAAGAGGTGACTTATAATTAGGGTGTTTTCACATTAAGATATAATAAATGAAATTTATAAAATAAAATTATGCTTTGATAAATCTATGTAGCAAGATGTCAATAAGGCAAGAAGCTGATAGTATCACACGGTACTCTAAGTTAGGGCAATAACATGAAGTGCTGCCCTGGTGTAAACGTTTAAACAAATATGTCCACAATATAAGAACAAACTTTTCAGTGGCGATATGTACTTTTTCTTTCCCCCTTTCCTCTTTCTTATCTTTTTAGCTAAGGTCTAGCATACACACTAGCTTTCAACAAAATAATTAAGACTGATGTAGTAAATGACCATTTCTTTCATCCACAATTCACATTCATGTACACAAAAATATTGAAATAGAATCTCATTTTACTAAGGAACTTACTAACAAAAAAAGGGGAACTAATAGGATTTATTCTTTTCCCAACCTAAATACTGCAAATGTTCCCATAAAAAAAAAAAAAAAAAAAAAAATTATCTCAGCTTTAAAAGTTAAACTGTAAAAATTCTGGGAACTGTCAGACCCAGAACCCTAACCCTAACCCTAACCCTAATACTAAGTTAGCAAATATGGAGCAAAATAAAACTCTATAAATGAATAATAAACATTAATAAAACCACTGTGGTCAAAAATGTTTGACTGAGGTTGCAATCTACTTCTAAACCTGTCAGCGGGTGCATGAAGTGGGTTGTGTCATACAATTTGATCCAAGTCTTGGTCGTTTTTATCTCCTTGGTTTTCAAGGAGACCCAGTTAATGTCTCTGAATTTTAAAAGAAAATATTAAATAAAAATACTTGTAATTACTATATATATTATCTCCTTTATTTCCTGAAAACTTCAAAATAACCATTTTGATTACTAAAAACATTCACCAATACTTTTGCATTTCTTAAATTCTACTGTATGTTTTAATCAAGGAGAAAACTTCAGCTGGGTACAGTGGCACACGCCTGCAATCCCAGACCAGGGAGACAACTGAGGCAGAAAGACTGCCATGGGTTCAGGGCCAGCCAAGGCTACACAGTAAGACCCTGTCTCAACAAAAAAAAAAAAAAAAAAAAAAAAAGAAAGAAAGAAAAAAACAAACCAAAACACTTCTCGTGGACATAAGTCACTGATGAGTGATACAACATAACAGGTTAAGATTTTTCAAATTTTCACTTTCCCAAAACTTGAAATTTTATCACCATATCCTACTTCTACTAAAATGGGATCACAGGCTGATACACCCATGAATGGATTAAATCCACTAAACTGAATATGCATCAGAAGGCAAGGGCTCACAGGACTGGAAGAGATGGGTCACTGGGGTATTGCCTTGAAAGAGCATATCTCTTGTTATGTTGTTTCCCTAGGCTCTTCTTCCCAAATACATACTATGAAGTGATATTTTATTTTGCAGACAACCCACCACAGCCTCAAACCTTTTTCAGCCAAATAAACCTTTCCTTTTTAAAGTTGTGTCAGATATTCTGTCCTAGCAATGGGAAAGCTGACAAATATATATGGAGACTTGGTACATAATGCAAGGGATTATACACTCAATAATCAGTGCTAAGAAATTTGTTATCTCCAAAGGTAGATTGATGTAAAATTTGATTCCTACTTCACAAGAAAAATTAGAGCAAAACCGAGTCATAGAGGTCCAGTGGGAAAATGAGGTTCCACCTTAAAAAAGAAGGCATTTGGAACTAAGGTATATTGTCTGTCCATCCATGTCCCATAATGGGTTTGTGGGGCCCAGTGGGGAGCTTTTACTCTATGAGTGTGTAAGGAAGGTATGAACCAGTGCTCCACTTCAGCTGAGATGGTAGTAACAGGTCCATCTAGTGGAACATCTATCCCAATCTAGATCCATCCACACACTGCTATGGCAAATAGAAACATCGAAAGGACACTCAGGATTTGGAGGCAGATTTATTTAACATCTAATGGGCACTGACCAGGAATCAATTGCTCCTCAAAATGTCAGGCCCAAATCTCTGGTATACTAGAGCTTACAAGGGATAAGCCAGCAGGAACTACAAAGGCAGAGTACTTAGCATCTTTGATTGGTTCTTACAATATGCATCACAGTGATCATCAATTTCTAGGAGGCAGAAGCAATGAGAACTGAAACAGGAACTATTACCTGGGCAACTAAGAAACTTAAGTATACTCACTGGGGGAGGGGGCACTTTTTGCTATATCACACCTAAATAGGGTGACTGTGTTTGCTGAGAAAAATAAATATGATGCTTAGTGTCGTAACCTAACACTCAAAATGTCCAGAACATGATTAGAAGTCACTCATTATACTGAAAACACAGTTAAAATCAGGGCAAAGAATAAAAATTGAGTCAAACAAAACACTAAGGCAAGAAGAGAATGATTTTGAGGTCAGCTGACAATACACAGAGAGCTTGAGGCTGGCCTGAACTATGTAGTGAGATCCTGTCTCAAAATGCAATACACAGGGCCAGCGAGATAGCTCAGTGGACTAAGCACTTGCTTTGGTAAGCGCAGGCACCAGGGTTCATTTGCCAGTTCCGCTGGCCCTGTCCCCGGGGTGGCTGAGCTGGCAACCAAGTGCAAGCATAGTGGCTCATGCCTGTAACCCCAAAGCTGGAGAGGCTGAAAACAGGAGATGCAAGTCCCAGTCCGAGCTGCGTAGTGAGATCCTGTACCAAATACATAAATGAAAAAAAAAAAAAACATCAGCATATATACACACACACATCCCAAAATGACACACATAAAACCAACTATATCAGTAAGTATACTAAATATGCAGAGACTATACACTTGTTCTCAAAAGTCAGACTAGATTTTTTAAGAAGACCCAATAATGTTTTGTCTACAAAAGCATCACCTTAGATTCAAAGGCATGGATAGAAAAAAAAAATATATCATGCAAATAGAGAACAGAGTAGTAGAGTAGCTATATGATTACATAAAATAGATTAAAAATATTACTGGTGACACAACAATTGTAAATATAAGCATACTGTTTAGATACATCTAGTGGTAGAAGTGAAAAGAAAAATAGACAGTACAGAAATTTTGTTTGAAAATTTTAGTAGCCTATTTTCAATAACTGAAAAAGTAACTATAAGAAAAATTAGTTAAGACTATGGAATATTGAACATTATCAATCAACTTGAGACTCACTTGGGGGCCAACGAGATACTCAGTGGACTAAGACCTGCTTAGGCAAGGGTAGGGACCAGGTTCCATGCACAGGCTGCACCCTCCCTACCCCCAGGGGCACTGAGTAGAGACAAGTCCAAGCGTTAGGGTGCACACCTGGAATGCCAACACTGGGGAGGCTGAAAACAGGAGGATCACTGTAAGTCTGAGCCGTGCTGCATAGTGAGACATTTCACCAAGTACATAAATAATAAAAAAATTTAAAAAACAAAAATCACCAAAAAAAAATAAAAATAAAAAGACTGACCTAGAAAGAATAGACAAAAGGCCCCTTACAAATTACCAAATTTGGAATGAAAATAAGACATCGGTACAAATGCTACAGATATTTTAAAAATTTTATGAGGATATTATCAATATCTTTATGCCAAAAAATTAGGCAACTAATATCAAACAAAGTTCTAGGAAGACACAGTTGTCTAATAGAACTCAAGAAGAAATAGAGAATCTGAAAGACTTATAAAAGTATTTTTTAAATATTGAATTAAAAATTCAAAAAATAATCTCATAAAGGGCCAATTGTTTTCACTTATTAATACTACCAAATATTAAGGAAAAAATTAATGCAAAACATACACAATTTTTTTCACAAAAAAAAGATCCAGTAGTGAAAGATTATTTTCTCCAAGACTGGAAATAAGGTAAGATTGTAGACATTTTTTACTTCTTTTACACACTGCGCTCAAGTGTCTACCCTGTGCAGTAAGGCAAGAAAAATAAAAACAACCAGATCAAAAAATACAAAGCAAAACCATGTCTATTCACAGACGTACTTCTCTATATAGAAAATCCTATGTAGGAATCATACAAAAAACATAATAAGTAGTGCACAAGGTCCTGAGTTCAATTCTAGGTCAAGCAAGCAAGCAAGCAAGCAAAATTACCAAGTGTAACTAATGTGTTTAGCTGAGTCAGAAGATACAAAATAAGCAAAGACTCAAGTATGTTTCCATATATTACCAATGACTACTCTGAATGTATACTTTTATTTACAATAGCATCAAAGAGAATAAAATACTTAATATTTAACTGTGATGTGAAAAGCTCACATATTGCAAACTGTAAAATA